TGTTTTTATTGCCATCATGATTTTTATAAAATACTAATCAATGTCATTCATCTACATCAAAGCAGGGTCTACTTTTAGAACAGTTTAGTGGCCAGCCATAGTTTGCAGCGTGAAGTCCAGAATCACTTGGGCCTAGCACACAAAACCTGGTCTAGCTTGCCTCCTGGCATCCCGTGCTGCCTGTCCTTGGCCACTCTGCACCTTTGCTCAGCACTCCTGTCTCCTGGCATTGACTGAAGTTCCTCCAATCAGGGTATACCCTCACCTACTTCGAGGCCTTAAGATAATTCTGTTTCCTCTGCCTAGAATACTCTTGTCCCGTACCACCCTCCTTTATTTGGTTAATTCCTGCGGGCCCTCCATGTCCAAGGTCTGACTTGAGGGAGGGGTGCTCTTCTTTATGGTCCGAGGGTCCCAGTTACGTAGCTAGGCTAACTTTTTATTTGTTTTTCTGCCTGCCTAGCACACGCTTTGCCACATCTATTCCTATGCCTCCCAGAAACCAGCCCAGGACCCAAAAGAAATTAGGCAACAAAGAAAACGATTAAATGAGTAAAGGGACAACATGAGGGCCCAGGTCCTCCTCTCCTTCTCTTACATTCTGAAGTTACAGTTCTTGCAAATGTGAGGGACACTCACATGGCACCAATGGCTACCAGTTATTGGGTACTTCCTGTGTAAGGGACATTTTACATATATTATCTAATTTATTTCACATGCTAACTCTGTCAGCTAAGGTATTAACATCCTCATTTTTCAATAAGAATATGGAGGCTCAGAGTTTCAGGGAATTGCCCAAGGCCACCTTCTAGTGAGTGGAACTGGGAGACCAACCTGTCTCATATCCACTATTCTACGTTGCTGCTCATGCTGCTGGGAGTCAAGGCTCCCTAAATCCCAAGGCAGGAGGGCAGCTTGATCCCCATCAAGCAGCTGTACTCCCTCCCTCCCCCTCCCTGCCATGGAGCTCAGGACACAAGGCTGCCTGTTATCAGAGAATGATTAGCCTGTACCCATGGGGGGCTTGTCACTGCCTGGCCCTGAGTCATCCATTCACACCTCTCTATGAGTGACACAGACCTTTCCTAGTGTTTATTAACAGCAGGCCACGTCAGCATCTGTTCCCAGCTGCACTGCCTAATGCTCACCCTGTATGGGGCTCAGCTGAGTCGGCCAGTGGACCCCAGGTGATGCATCTACACTTGAGCAGTCAGGTGGGGAGGGAATGACAGCCACACTCAGCCTGGTGGGGTATGGCTGACTCAGTTCTGAAACGAGTATTATCAGGGTGGGGGGGAAAAAGAATAAGGATGCCAGAGCTGGAAAGGTACATGGAAAACATCTTGGACAGCATCTGGGCTTAGTAGGTACAGAAACAAAGACAAAGGAAAGTCTTGAGAATATCAGTTCAGCAACTGGCATGCAGTAGGCACACAACTGTTTGCTGAATGAATGAAAGAAGAATAGATTCACATTGAGTTGTAGAGTTTGGAAAACACATTTATATGCATCATGTTATCACATTCTCACAAGAATCCTACATGTGCTATTCTCATTTTACAGATGGAAATACTGAGGTTCAGAAGAAATTTCATATAGGAAGAAGAATGTGGGTTCTGGAGTTGGACAGACCTGGGTGCATATCCTAAATCCAACACCGACTTGCAGGGTTTTCCCATGTAAAACAGGAAATAGCCATGTAGCCTGCAGTGTCTTGCTGTAAATACAGTTTTATTGAAACATAGCCATGCTCATTAATTGCATTTGGCATATTATCATTGCATATTCTCCATGGCTGCTTGTGCACTATAAAAGCAGAATTGAGTCATTAGGACAGAGACTGTATGATTTACAAAGCCTAAGACATTTTCTTTGATTCCTATATAGAAAAGTTTGCCAAACCCTGTTCTGCCTGGGGTGTGTTAGGTACTTAACTAATGTTGGTCTTTTCTCCTCTCAGATGAAGGAGAAGTGGCTTTATTATGGTCCTTTTTCTAAGACTTTACAGGCCTGTGAATACTGCAGTGCCTGGAATTGGAAAAGCTGGTGTGGCGTTAGGAGCACTGGAGGAAGAGCCAGGCAACAGGGTGTTCTAGTCCTGGCTCTGTCCTGTGTGAGCTTGAGGACACCCCTCTGAGCCAGGAGTAGTGGCTCGAGTGTCCCCCCAAGATTCACAAGTACCCAGAACCTCAGAATATAACCTTGTGTAGATATAGGGTCTTTGCCAATGTAATTAAGATAAGGTGAGAACAGATTAGGATTGATGCCAAATCCAGTGAGTGGTGTCATTGTAAAAAAGACATGCAGACAGACACAAGGAAGAGAGCCATGTGCCCATGGAGGCTGAGACTAGAGTGAGGAGCTACAAGCCAAGGAGAGCTAAGGGCTGCCGAGAGCCGCGGGAAGCTCTGAGGAGGCAAGGGAGGATTGTCCCCCAGGGCCTACAGAGGCAGGCTGGCCCTACTGACACCGTGACTGGGACTTCCATCCTCCAGAACTGGGACAGCGTAAGTGTCCGCTGTTTTACGGCCCCCAGTTTGTGCTGCTTGTTATAGCATCACCAGGCAACCAAGGCACTGCATGTCCCCCTCTTTATGCCAGCGCGGGTGAGGCTGTGTGGCGTGCGCATGGGCAGGAGGCCGCGCTGGAGGTTTGCAAAGGGCGCACAGGCTCCGCCCCTCCAGTTCTTCCTCCTCTAAGATACAGAGCGGCTGGGTACAGATTTCTCTGGGCTTTTCTGTTAGGAGATCTCTGACTTGCCCTGGGGCGCAAAGCAAGTTGGGAATCAGAAACGTGGCATGGAGCCGCTCAGGGTCGGACGTCAGGCGCACTTGCATGCCGCCCTGGCCTCACAGCTTCAGACCCGAGCGAACCAGGACAAGCGACGTAACTCACCACGACCCAGTTTCACCACTTGCACAATGCGAGTAAACGTGTATATACACCTCACCAGGGCTATGGTGACAGTCAGAGGAGACAGCACAGGAAAGGAGGCCAGCGCAGTTCTCTGTGCAGAGCGGGTGCTCCGGGCCTCCGACACGGTGGTGGTGGTGGTGGTGCTGATGGCGATTCCTGGAGAAGCTGGGGCTCCCACCGGGATCTCCCTGTCACCCCAGCGCACCTCCACTCCCAGTTGCTTTTCCCTTGCTCCCTCTGCCCCTGCTATTGGGGCAGCTCTAAGCTCCAGCAGACCCCGAATCCTGGGCCCAGCCCCTGGGATGACGGACTGAGACCTGAGTGAAGAAAATGCCAGCACCTGCCTGGAGCCCCTTCTCTGCCTTGCGACGAGACTCCTCATTTTCCCAGCCTGACACAGTCACTCCAGACTCAGTTACAGCCCCTGTGTCAGGCCTTTGTGTTTTAAATAACGTTCCTTCATGTAACTGGTGTTTATGCTGAATCAATCCTCTTAAAAGCTAGCAGCCTGCTTATTTGTACAGCCGGAGCTGTCTCCAGGCCCCGCAGGAAGGTGACAGGTTTTGCTTGTTTTTCTCTTCTCTCCCTTTGTTTCTCTGTCTCGGCTCGCCTGTCTCCTGTCCACTCACACAGTCTTTTTCTTCACTTGCATTCTCTTTCTGACTCTATCCCCTCCCCCTCGCCCTCTCTCCCTCTCCTCTGTATACATTCGTTGTTACCTTGATGTGTTTTCCTTTGTGAATTTCTGCATTTCCTGCTCCTGTTTCTTTTTCTCCTCATCTTGTTCTTCATTTTGCCTCATTCCTTACGCTTTCTTGGCCTCCAACTTCCTCTCTTTTAATTTCCTAGTAACTCTCCTCTGCGTCTTTCTCTATTTGCCCATCTGTCCATCCATATCTATGCGCCTGTCTGTCTGTCCACCCATCCATTCATCCACCCATTCATCTATCTTCCGTGTTTTTGCCTCTCAGTTTCTCTTCTTTCTTTCTAGTGTTTTCTGTACATGTTTATCTCTTTTCTTGCTCTCATGCTTTCTCAGATGATCTCTTCCTCTGTCTTTTTCTCATCCTCTCACTTCCTTCTCCTCCTCCTGCTAAGGATATTAATATTTTAATAGCCTTAATCTCTTCCCAGGATTCTTGCTCCTTTCATGATTCAAAAGTGGCAAACCGCCCAGAGCTTTCAGCCTAGGAACTGTTAATTCTCTTCCCCTGTCCACCTGTCACCCTTATCTCACGTGCACCAAGTTAGGAAGTGAGGGATAATCCGGCACCTCCTTGCATCTTCTCATTTGTCCCCATACTACAGCTGTGAGCCTGAAGGATTTGCGGTGGGAACCCGGAGGCCGGGGTGGGCAGGGGAGTGGACTGTTGGAGAGACTTTTGATAAAACTACTCATTGATGGAGACTTCACCCAGGCCTTCTGGTGTTTTCTTTGTTTCCTTTTGAAAATATTTACTTGCACAAGTTCTTACCAGACCCTGTGCTGGAGGCTAGAAAGGGGTGTGTAAGTTTTGAGCCCTTCCCTCAAAAACTCTCTGGGGAACTGAAGAGCTGATGATTAAGATCAATAAGATAACAGATTTACACAATGAACTCGAAGGGTAAAGGAATTATTTCTGTTTGAGGGAAGTAGAGAGGTTTCACAAAGGAGTCATAATCCATTCTTGGGAGGTAAGGACTGTCCAGTGTCACTGCTGCATCCCTAGGGCCTAAAATAGTGCCTGGTTCAATTCTTCCACAATACAAACTGGATGGCCTTCCGCAGGACACTTCACCATTCTGAGCCATAGTTCATTTACTGGTAAAATGGAAATCTCATGCCTACCTTCCAAAATTATAAGGATTAATGAAATAAAGGGATCAAAGTTCCAAGTACATTCCCCTTTATCGTAGGTAGATATACATCATGTCATATGATGACAGACCTATTGAATTTTTTTCTTTTCATTTTAAATATGTACTTGTATCATATTCTTGATTACAAACATAATGATGTCAAGTGTAATGGATGCGTATTTAAATTGTTTAAATCCTAATGATACATATGTCCCTGGGGTTTAACCATGCTCTTTCTTTCAAAGGGAAGAAGCGATGCTGTCCACATACTTTGAAACCATCAATGACCTGCTGTCCTCCTTTGGGCCAGTCCGCGACTGCTCTCGGAACAATGGGGGCTGCACGAGAAACTTCAAGTGTGTGTCTGACCGCCAGGTGGACTCCTCGGGATGTGTGGTGAGTGATGCAAAGCTCCTTGCTGAGGTCCCTCCTTGTATAGGAGACGTGGCCAAAGGGGATCCCACTGCTCATAGCTCCTGCCTCTGTGGCCTCTGGCACCCCAGGCTGCCTTGATTTCCTCATCTGTAAAGTAGAATAATTAAACCTATCTTATGGAATTGTTGGACGAATGAGATGAGGTCTTAACTCTTTAGTGCCCAATAGATAATAGGTCCTCGGGAGCTCCTGACCTCAGGAAACTTACGTTGCACTTGGGTGTGAGATAGGACATGCCTTAGCTCTGTGAACACAGCGGGGAGCATGCCGGCACCATGTCCAGCAGAGAAAGTTTCTGCTGAGACCTGAAGTTTGTAGGCTTTCTGGGAAATTTGGTGTTGGAACTGACCTCAAAAGATGAGTTAACTTATGGGGAAAAGAGTGCAGATGGCAAGCTCTTCTGTCCAGGCAAAGGCATGGATGGGAGATGGTGGCCTTGTTTGCGTGGAGCTTTAGCATATCTTGCGGGATAAGGGCACAGAAGATAATGTGGAGATCTTTGTTGCCTGTAGAAAATTGTTACAAACTGCATGATTTGTTTTATAGGAATCACCTAGGGTGCTTGTTTAAAATCTAGTGTTCCACACCAGTAACTTTGATTCTGTAGAGGGCGTTGGGTCCCAGAAACCTGAATTTGTAACCATTTAATGAGTGCGTATATGTGTGGGATGAGGGCAGTAATGTCTTGGAATTTGTGTGGGATGGGGGCAGACATGTGGGAAACATTGCCCTATAGGCTGAACCCCTTGGTCTGGCATTCAGTGCCTTCTTGATGTGGCCCTTTCTAATGTGTCCATCACTGAACTTCACTCTACAGTGTAGCTAGTGGGGCGAATTAGATGTAGTTCTCTGAACATACTTACCTGTTTAATGCCTCAGAGACTTTATTCCCACCATTCTTTTGCCAGCATGGATTGCTCCCCTGGCCCATGTAGCAAACGAGTGGCCCTCTTTCCAGATCCATCTCCTTTAAGAAGTCTTTCCCATCCCCCATTTGCAGAAGTACCATGTTCTTCAAAGGATCATGCTTATGTTTTCCTGTACTCACATCCGTCACCTGTGATGATTGATAACACAAACTGACTTTTTTCAAGTTGATCTCACCCAGTAAGCTGAGGAGGAACCCAGAGCATCTATTGATTTAACTCAGCACCCCATTAGTACCCATCTCAGTAAATAAGGAAGGGAGGAAGGGAGAGAGGGAGGGACAAAGAGGTCTGGGATGGCAATTCCTGCTCTGGGCTAGGCTCTCTGGAAGAGACCAAAGGAAGGAGAATACATAATTGGCTCTTAGTTTGCCAGGAGACCAGTACAAAAAAGAAGCTTTAGAGAATGAGGTGATGCAATGAAGTTGTGTTTTAGACTGAAATATCAACATATCTTCAGAGGTGGTTGGGCAATTAGAGATTTTATTGATTAGAGTTCTTAGGATTGTAAGTGACAGAACCTCAACTCAGACTGGTTTAGGCAAAAAGAAGAAATACATTGCTCAAATGGAAGTCTAGTCACAATAGGACTGGGGGACTCAAACAGTGTCGTTGCGATCCCTCTCTTCTTAGTTCTGCTTTTCTAAGCACTGTGCCATGCTCTGGCCCACCACACTGTCCCCCTTTAGTGAGTCCTGCAGGACAAGAACATCTCTTTCTAGTTCCTCCAAATAAAGTCACAGGATTCCATCTCTTTGGTCCTACTTGGCTCTCATGCCCATCTCTGTACCGATCACAGTGGTCAGGAGGAAGGATTAGGCTCATCCCAGCACCAGTCATACCTGGGGCTTGGGCCAAGTAGCAGCTGCTCCTAAAATTCCTGGTAATGAGTTGGCACAAGGCATAGACTCTCAAAGAAAAGTAGGGTGCTTGCAATAGGAAAAGAAGTTATAGATACTAGGTGGGTGTGCATCAGCAGCTGTTTGTTTCAGAGTGTCGCAACATCACCCTTCATTCTGCATATTACAACACTGAGGCTCAGGGATGGAGAAGAAGATTCCCCCAAGTCCTAGAGCTAGGCAGTGGCCAAACAACTCAAAAGGACGTCCCACAGCATCTGTGTGGCCTCCAAAACATGTGGCTGGCATTTCTGAAAGGATTAAGTTGTCTCAGTTCCCTTTTCTATCTGTTCTCTTTCCTGAACTAATTAAGCTCCTTGCCCTTGATGACAGAAGTTCCAGAGAATGAAACCTCAGAAACCAGAAGGGTGTGTGTGTGTGTGTGTGTGTGTGTGTGTGTGTGTGTGTGTGTGTGTGTTTCTAGGCAGGAATCATCTCTTTTTCCCCTCTCGTTAAAATAAACTAGGAAAATGAAAAGAGAAAGAGCATTCATTCCCTGGAGGTGAAGAGAAAATTTCAACAGCCTGATGAGGTTGTCAAGGACTTTCCTTTCCAGATTAAGGATCTAATGTGAAAGCTACAACTTAAGGGCTTGACGAACTTAAACTCTCCTCCGTGCCTTCAGGATAGACAGGGTAATACCCACTTCTACACTGAAATTTAATATCTCACCCATTTCTGTGTAGATTCCACATCATGCCTGCAAAGAGAAACTTTTTCTTAGAACCCCTCTTGTAAAAAGCTCTATCTGGCAAAATAAATAATAAGAATGCCTTACATTTTTAGAACATTTTAGAGTTCTCAAGGCATGTCTACGTCCAATAATAACTCACCTTCACAACAAAGCTGAAGTAGGTTCCCTCATTATACGGGAAGCAGGGTGATATTCCAAGGTCTCACCACAAGGGGGCAGGATGGAGGCCCAAGAACATGGCTTAATCGTGTTCCTCATGCCAGACCCATTTTGGTTTGCTCTCCTATGGAGCAAAGAGGATGTGGTAGCACAGTACCTTGGAAAGAAGGCTCTTAGTCTGGTCTGAGTGAATCGGGCTAAGCTCTGACTTGGTCACTGGTGAGTTTTTGAGTCAACATTGGCCTCAGTGGCCTCGGTTTCTTAATCTTTCAAAATGGAGCAATAGCTCTTGATCTCGTAAGTTTCTTGAAAAGTCAACATAACTGGAAATGATTTGGGACTTACAAAGTGTCCTTTAGTGTGTGAATGATGAAACCACAGTTATTGACTTTTTATGTAATGGATATGATATATAGGGCCACAAAAATTCAGCACCACAGCATATTTGATTTTCTGTTTTTCTGTAAATGAGTTTCATTTCTGTTATGCTCCACCCACTGGTAATGGAAACTTGATTCTAGTCAGTTCAGGTTTTCTGTTCCTGGCCTGTTTCTGAACATCTAAGTTCAAGGGGGCTAATGTCTGCCTAAGGCATGGGGGAATCATTACCTATTAATTCTAGCACTTGCTATTTCATCTGTCCATCACTCTCTTTCCTTTCTGGTATATTCCAGGACCCCTGAGTTCCCACATGATTTATAAGCGCATGGTCTATCCTGGCTTCTGCTGCCATGTTGGCTTCATCCACCTTGAAGTCATTTGAAGACAGCTGGGTTGCCTGTCACATAGCTTTCCCACCCCAGTGAGGGCATGAGGGACGTCCAGCAGCTCTCCTGCACCACCCGAGGGCATGAGGATTGGATCTAGGCAGACCGTGAATCATTTGTAGCTGGCTGCTTTCATGCCAAGGAAGAGTGCTCAGCCGGGCTTCCGGATGCCACATGCCCTCTGGCAAATGAGGCAGAGACCCTCCTTGCCTTCAGATCCCTCAAACGCATCTGACTTGCTCCAGCCCCATCCTCTTCAACCGTCCCAAGTAACGAGCCTGGTGGGAAGAGAGCCCAGGTCTCTTTTAAGGACATCCAGTTTGATTTCCAACATTCCTTTTCCCCCGATGCAAATGATCTTTCCTGGAAGTGTGGAAGGAGGCCTGGCAATCCCCTAACACATCACAGATGCTTCCATTCTTTGATTACTATTTTACCTTCTATCTAGGCCTCAATTTCTAACCTCTCCTCTCAAAAAAAAAAAAAAAAGAAAGAAAGAACAATGAAGAAAGCTCATTTTGCTTGGCCTTCTGGTTCTGCTGAGCAGTCTTCCCCTGGGGTAATGTGGTCCTCGAGTTGGCAGCTGCCCAAACTGGGGAGGATCGTAGGGCGTGTGGTAGGGCAGAATGGTCACTCCACAAGGATGTCCACGACCTGACGCCTGGAACCTGAGGGTGTGTTACCTTAGGTTCAAAGGGGGAACTAAATTCACATGTGGAATTAAGGTTGCTAATAAGGTGACTTTTAAAAAGGAAGATTGTCTTGAGTCATCAGGGCAAGTCCAATATAATCACAGAGTCCTTGGATGTGGAAGAGGGAGCCAGCAGAGGAGGTCAGGGGTGCAACCCAGCTAGCTTTGCACATGGCGGGAGAGAATGACAAGCTAAGAAAGTCTCTAGAAGTCAAAAAGGCAAGGAAATGAATTCCCCCCTCGAGCTGTCAGAAGGGAACGGAACCAGCCAGCACCTTGAATTTAGCCCAGTGAGACCTTTGTTGGACCTCTAACCCACAGACTGTAAGACGACAAATGAATGATTTTAAGCCACCAAGTTCATGGTAATTTGTTCCAACAGCGGAATAGAAAACTGATACAGAATGAACAATAATGTGTAGAGGGAGGGTGATCCGGACAGTATTTGATAGAGATTTATCCTGTTATTTTGATGTTCAGTTACTTCCAGGGATACCCTCACCTGTGACCAGGGATGGGGGAAGTATCAGGAAAGGGAGGGAACCTTGTGTTCCCCTTCAGTGTGCTAAAGAGTAAAAAATTGTTATCTATTAGGTATGGTACAAATCTGATAAGAGTAATGATGTCAGGAAGGTGCAGTTTGAAAAGTAAGCTATGGCTCTGTTTATTCTGTGTGGCAGTATAAACACTGAAAAATGTTAATCAAGATAGAGGACAAAACCAAAGAAAACTGTAAGCACTTAATCATGATATTGTGTGGAGCATATTTGCGCCATCTCTGAGCAGCTGCTGCCCCCTGAAGCATTCCGCTCATGCTCTTTCTTC